TTTCTCAGTGCCAATACGCTAGTTTCATTTAATCCATGGTATGTTTTGCGAAAGCCGTAATTAATGAAACATGTCGTAATCATCACCTATTGCCGACAAATGAAAAGAAAATCTCCTTCCTGTAATAATATCGACCGTCTGCTGTCGGTATCTCATGGCCGCCTTGTGCAAATTTTGCAAAAGGAACTATTACGCGTATCTGTAATAGTGCGAGACTAATGATAGCAGCAGATGTTTCAGTTTTACTTTCACGCTTGCATATGAATGCATGCTAGATACGGGCGGGCGAGGTTGTTTTGTTTTTTCTTTCGACATTCGATGCAATGCTTTGATCGCGGAAGGCCGTCATAACTCTTCCTCGATTGTTTGCTCAAGAATATCATAGAAAGCTGGAAGTTTGAAGGTTGTTTTATCACCTGTATATTAAATTTCATAACTAATTCATTAGATCATTATAAAACGAATATAATTGAGCACGTCTGCATGCATTCGTCTTACACAAAAAAAACGTTACTTGACTATCACTTCAATAAAAGGTAGTAGTGATACTAGTAGTAGTAGTATTTATTTTGGCAAAGATACAAGAAATGTTCTCGTATATAGGCATGCCAAAAGTTGATAAATAAATTAAAAGTCTAAATAAATCGTATAACAAATAACTAGTAACAATTAATATACTCATAATTTGACAAATAAAAAGTAAAAACACCCACGTAATAGACAAAAATCTAAAAATGTATATAGCATAACAGATGGATAATAAATTAAAAGGTTAAGCACATATTAAGTAAATAAAGATAAATAACACACGCGATAGACGAAAAATGAAAAGATATTAATGTTGTCTGCCATAAATTCTGCACAGGTGAAGTATATATAGAAGTCTCATATGGTGGAATTTGTGAAAAATCACGATGTCTGGTGTTTCATTTGTATTGACCAAAATTAAACTCAAACTCTCCGCGGTGTAGTTTTACATAATGATTTGATGGAGTATGTAAATACAGGGCACCGTTAACAAACCGTTCTCAATAAAAATAGACTATCGAGTATCCATGAGGCTCAAATTGTAAGCCTAATAAGTCGCTTGTGTCCAATAAAAGCTCTTGATCTTTGAACATTATTTCCCAGTTAGCTAAGGATGCTGACGGACATGTGTGGGTATGCTAATCCTACATAATGGTTTAGGAATTTGGAAAAATATCACTTCCTCGTATACTCTGAAGATTTTTGAAGGCTTTGTAATTTATACATCTCTGGAAACCGTTTTACTTTATTTAGGTTTTCATGTCAGTATAGCAGTTTTACTTTCACACTTGCATATGAGCGCATGCTAGATACGACCGGGTGCTATTTATTCTTTTTTCTTTATTGCGATGCTAGAGGCACTGATCAAGGGAGACCATCATAATGTTTCCTCAAGGATATGACTGAAAGGTAGCTTATTCTTGTAATATTCATAGAATCTTCCGTATATTTATTTATTAGATCTATTGTTTGATATAAAATGTGGGAAATGCTTGTACACACGCAAAAATAACATCATTCTAGGATATCACGAACATGTATTATAAAGTTTACTCAACTAGCCCAATAGGTATGACTAACCTGGCAATTCAAATTAAAATAGTTATTGGTCTTGGGTTTCTTTCCCGATGCATCCCTGAAGTCTGGTTTGAAATTTCAATCAAAAACGATGCTCAGAAACAATTTCATTGACTTTATGCGAGAAAAAGACATGGCGTGGAAAAATTGAGCAAGCCTTGCTCCTAATTATCCACAGAAAAAAAACGAAGACGCTCAAAATAGACACAATAGCTAGTGTTTAAAATTCAATACTAAGAGAAATATATTTTGCTGAATGTTCAGTTGTCTTTGTCATTGAGTAAATTAATATTTCGTTGAAATGAAAATTCTGGAAAATACTCCATTCATTGCTGTTTTCATTTCTTGAGATAGTTTGACACTCATGTTACCAATCTTCTTAATAAATTTCCTGAACTTCAATCTGTTCATACCTCAGATGTTAAAATTGCTTACTTTCATACCTGCAGCACATCAATTGCAGGCTAGTATTATTAAATACGGGAAGTTAGTATTCTTTAACTACTCTTTCGATATTGGATAACGCGTGTTGACCCAAGAATATGTTAGAAAGCTGGATTTATGGAGGTTGTATTATTTTTTATTATCTTCATATTGTGATGTTTCATAATTCATTATTTATTACGCTTTCTGTTCTATTTAAAATATGGGACATGATATTTTTGCCTACAAATAAAGAAACAAATTATGGAATTAGTAACATTGAATTTGGAATAAAAAGTGTTGAATTGATACTTCTCTTCCGGATTAGATCATTGATGTTTTTTAGTACGAAAAAGGCTTTATCTTATTTTTTCATGTTTAACTTCATCGAACATTATTTCATCTTTGCGGTTAAGCTTTACTTTGTCTCTTTAAATTTGATTGGCCAATTTTATTCATCTTGTCTAATTTTCTTCTCTAGGTAAACCTCCTTTTTATAATCACTCTCATTTCTTCCTTGTCATCTTTAGTTATCAATTGATAATCTCTAACATAACTAAGAGACCATGAGTTTTTTTTTTAGGTTTCTTCTTATGGTGTGCTATGGGATCTCAAGACAAGACAAGCAACCTGATTGCCTTTAGATATCGCAGTACTGTTTCTCGCATTTCAGATCCATAAACAATGTGCACATGCAGCATTTTAGTCGAAGATTGCATAACAATTAACAGGTGTGTTACGATAATAGTTCTGGGTCGGTTTTCGCCTTTTCTGAGACCTTTTGGCGTTTTCGGGACGATGGTTGAGGATGACGTGTCTGGTACCAAGACGTCATACAATAAAGAGTAATTTTAAGCATATGTGGTGTGATTCGTCCAAAGAAACATGAGGGGTTATAGTTATAGTAACTCGCAATCTAATTCAATTTGGCTTCTGCTGACATTCTGCTACTTACTTTTGTACTTTTACTGTCAGTCTAAACTATGAAACTAGGTACATATTTTCTATAATGGCTAAATAGCTAGCTGCCTATCAAAATTTGTCGAACATATCCTACTTAGCAATTACTCAATCATGTAATTTGGATCAACGGATTAGCAATATATAAGTGTATCCTATCACTTGTCCATTACGGTAAAATCTAGACCACTCTTCACCTTAGTTAAAGCCAATAATTGTTATAAATTACTGTTTACTATACGAACTGGTGAACATTTGGTATAATTAACACTTATAATAATGTGGATATGGTGGATTGTAGCCAGTGCCTGATAATCTCTTTCTATTTCCCCGTCTAAGTGCCTAGTAATCACTGATTATATAACCTGGACTGACAGCATGAGTCTACTTGTCCAATTTGGTGATTGTTGTATAATATTTAACAACGTATCATGGAGAAAGCCTAGACGAATGTTCCTTTTATGTAAAGATGTTCTCGGTTCATAATTGCAGGCGGCCTACTTGCTTATTGCAATTGTTTATTTGAGTTGGAAACAATCGTCAGTTGGCGAACTGATGAAGCCTGTATTATTTTCGATAATTGCGATGTAACTTTTAGCACCTTTGCATTGAATTTCCTTTCGCTAATTGTGTGCTCACATGATTACAAGCAATTTGTTAGCTTATGAAATAATGTCGATGAAGATATGAATGATTTATTCTTTGAAACGTGATGCTACATTCAATGGTCGTTAACCGGTCAATAAAAATAGCCATATGTTGTATCCGTCTCTATCCGTTTTGGTTACATAGATACTTAGATGAGTAGGTTTGTTCGGTCTGGTTGACTAGATATCAGACAAAGTCGTAATCCACTAGGGACCTTGTAGCTTACATCACGCAACTGTGGAGTAAACTCATCCAGTCCTAACGTGAGGCTCATGTCGTAGCTCTTGTTATCACAGAAGCGTTCGGTCAGATGCTGGGCTTTTACTCAAGCTTCCATCCCATGGCATCCCATAGAAGCTTTGTAGATGGATGGCTGACCACAACTGATGAGTTCTCCTCTTCATCCCCCAATGCCAATGTCGATGTTTTCCAGGGATCGATCTTGGCTCCGACATGGTTCCTCTTATATATCAATGACCTCATTTCCTCTACGATCAGTAGCATCCTCAGCTTTGCTGATAACAGCACTCCACAAGCAGGTATTCAAAGTGACAAGCCTTCTAGAGAAAAGAAGCCTAGCAGCGACCTCCTCTCTGATAAGAGATCTAGAGGTTATCACTGTTGGTCTGGCAAGAACACATCTCGTCGATAGCGACAGGTGCTGGGTAAAGGTTAGGCTATTTGTTTAGGACTAATAAGTTCACATAACCTCTTCACTTTGTACAACATCCAGATAAGACCTAGCCTCAAGTACAGCTCATATGTTTGGGGTGCTGCCGCCCCGACTACATTATCCGTGCTTGATGCTGTGCAGAGGAGGGCGGACAGCCTTATCGATGAATCTTCCCTAACGGACAGTTTCGAGACACAGCTCTTCTTCATGATACCCTCTGAGAGACCCGCCTGACTTCGGCCTCCCAACTTAACCATGTCGAACTTCGTACATCCAGAACTGGCCGATATGATCGCTCCTTTGTCACTAGGGTATTGAGATTGTGGAACAATCTGCCTGCCTAGAGTTTACCCAGTTATACTGACCTTATGCAATTCAAAAGTCGGATTAACAAGGTACCTTTAAGCTTAAGAAAGTGAGATGATTGAAATGCCTCGGAATTTAAAATTGATCTGAAAGTTAATTTTGCGCACTGAGCCAACCGTGATGAGATACGAGTATACCGGGTATTTCAAATGCAACTCACACCATTTTTTTTTTGTTTTGAAGGGGGACTAGAATCGAAACGTTACTTGATTTGTCACGAAGCTATCACCATTGCAGATACCCAATAATTTTTAATACGTTTAAGCTAACGTAAGTGTCAAATATTTTCTCATAAATGCAATGTATGTTTTTTTTGTGATTTTAGAGGTATTCAGCGCTGTGCGCACTCCTCCTGTTGGTGAGCGCTGAAGACAAGAAAGTCGAGGAGGGCCAAAAAGAGACCGCCGACAAGGCCGGACAGTCCACGGCAGCAGGCGGCGGGGATTCACAAGCCGCAGAGGGGCAACACAAACAGGACAAAAGGGGCATTGAACATGGCTATGGAGACTTCGGGGGAGGTAACACAAATAATAATTTTTAACCTCCTATTCTTTTTAAATGTGATTGGATACATGCAAAACGTCAGAAAATAAGTTTTTGCAGTGTTCCAAAATGTTGCCTTCTCCAGAAAAAAAAATTAACTATGTCCTAAAGTTTCCAGAAATACGAAAAACGACGAAAATAGATTTTGTAAGTTCCACAAAAGATTTGGATTTATAAGCAGATAAAAAATACACAATTATGAATAGACTTTACCATTTGTTTTGTTTTTATTGTGACCACAGTGGAGCAAGATTTTCACGTTGATATGATGTTTGTGTGTTATCATAGATTGAAAGTTGACAACCTTGCAACCTGTGCTCATAAAAACATAATAAATTGAATAGGCGAAAGGGTGAACTTTGTAAAAAAATGCCAAAATTGTGACGTTTAGGATTTTAAAGAACAATCAACAAAAAAAGTAAAAAGAAAAATATTGATGAAGGTTTAAAGTATACGCATACGAGTATGTTCAAAATTATTTAAAAGCAATGATTCCGTACATCAAAATCCCACTTATAGACCTTGATCCTTTTGTCCTTTCTAGATAAAAATCAGAGACTACGCCCTAAAAGCTCTGGAATTATCTGAATATTTTTGTTTCATGCTGAATACTCCCCCGCCAGTGGATTACAAAATATAAAGAGAAAAATGGAAAAAACGAACATTAGAAGAATTTTATTCCCTCCAAAAAGTGTTTTGACTACGCCCTTAACTCACCAGAAACGACAAAAAACAATTTTTTGCATTATTCAAAATTTTGACACCCTCAAAGAAAGCGTTGTCAAACTTAAAATAAAGCCAATGGCATATTCCCGGGTATTTTCAGAATTTTTTTACTGCTCCCTGTAGTGTTAAAAAAATTTAAAAACGGCAACCAACGAATTTTGAAGAATTTTCAAAATTTCGACTTCTCCAAAAAGCTTCTTGATTACACACTGCAATGATCAGAAATTCGGGAAACGGCAAAAAATCATGATTTTACAAAATGTTCACTCCTCCAAAAAATGTAACTATGCTCTAAAATAATTATAAACTTGAAAAACGATAAATAACAAATTTTGGAGATTTTTAAAAATTTTCACCTCTCCAAATATTTTTTTACATGCGTCATAAAATCAGCAGGAATTTGTCAATTTTTATTTGAAGCCTGCTCCGGAGTAAAAAAGAACCCCAACCCTGTACGCCACCCACTCTTCACCTCTCCCTGAAGGGGCCTGGGGTCATGGTGACATTTGACGCTTAAAATAAGGCTTACTGTGAGTCCTAACATCTCACAAAACGAGAATACTGTATGATCTTATACGGTCAAAATTTCGATTTTCGATGTACTCCAAAGATCCGTTCATTTCGGCTGGTTAGATTCCAGATCACCGAGGATTTAATTTGACACGGACACATCTCGTCAATAGCGGCAGTGCAGGGAAAAAAGCTCGGCTATTTGTTTAAGACTACGAGTACTTTTCTCCATATGATCTTCTTACTCCGAATAAGGCTCAGACAGAACCTAGCCTCCAGTACTATTCACATGCTCGATGCTGACTCTTCACTAACGGACAGTCTCAGGACCCTTTCGCACTCACAGGCCGTCGGTCTAGCTATCTTCCACCGCTACACCAATGGACTTTGCTCTTCAGAGCTCTCCTCCATGATGTACCCGCCAGACAGACCCGCCTGACCTCGGTCCCGTGTCGAACTTCGGACATCCAGAACTGACCGATAAAACCGCTCGTTTATCATAAGATATCCAGATTGTGAAACACTAGACCTGAAAAGGCTATTCCCAGTTCTACTAACCTTAATCCGGATTGAGTTTCTTTAAGCTCCTCATAACAGCCGCAGCGCCCTGATACTTAGGCTTCTGCCTGTGCGGCTGCTTCGGTATAAAAAAAACTCACCTGCCTCTTAATATTCTTTAGAAAAAGAAATTTGCCAACATTCTGTAATCTATGAAACTCTACGCTCCAATGCTCCTAAAATTATTCCCTCCACAGATCCTAGGTACCATTATGTACTATTCTATCACATTCAAGCAAGTGTCCTTTGTTACGACTGAACTTCCAAGGACATACAATGCAAATGTGAGAGGATAGCCAACTTATTTTCAAGGTTTTCATGGATTTCATCATTTTGGAGGTCACGAATTCGGTGGAGGCGGTGGGGATGAACACCATCACCAAATCCACGAAGAGAAGACAGTCACCGTGGTGAAACATGTGCCAGAACCATACCCCGTCACCAAAGAAGTACGTGTTCCAGTTGAGAAGAAGGTGCCTTATCCTGTCAAGGTGCATGTTCCTGCACCATACCCAGTTGAAAAGAAGGTATGTTTTTTCAACATTTTTGGTTACATCGCGTGCCGCTATGATATGTTAAAAATTAGTCAAACTCTGCGTACCTTGATGCTAAACATCAAACTTGCGACATTAGGTAGGCGTTTTCTACACACATGTCAACTTAGAACTATCATTTGTTCACTTGATATAGACTCGTTCTGTACGTACAGTTGTACGTGTTGCCTAAACGTCATGACGCTTCAGCTACCAATGTTTTGGTCCTGATGTGATGTAACACCTGCGCATTGGTGCCTGGTGAGGATTTGTGTGTAAATAATCTGTGTTTATGCACTTTTTCTTATTCATCTTATCCATGGAAATTACATATGCAAATTTGCTGAATAAGAAAATGTCTTGTGTGTGATGCATCATTTTCAATTTTTCTGTGATGTGGCTTAATTACACACAACCTTGGCGCGGTGGTGATTTCCCGTAATGCTTCTCAAAGGTTTTGAAAACGCAGAAAGACTGGGGAAAGTTATAGATTTGAACAGAACCTCTCTTCAGACAGGATAACACAAATAACTCGTCTGGTACAGCTAATAGATATACTTCATATTCAGTAATAATTTTCTGACAGCAAATATCACAGATTTTATAGAAATGCAGACCAGTACACATAACCATCCAGATGCAATTTTGCTACTGTGTTAATCAATCTTTGTCGCTTCTTCTCAGAGATATACTCTACAGACTATCTCGGCATTCAGCAACCAACAAAGCATGCTGGGAAACCGACTTGCAGATTGTCATTGAGCGTGTCGTTGAGTCCTTCCTCCACAGATTATGCTTATGGTGACGCTCATAGCGAATGGACTATTTGCACACTTGGAACTATATAGTTAGCAAGTTGACATTTTGTCGGTCTTTTTACCTCACATAGGTTTTTTACGAAATACCCTGTGGAATGGTGTACTTAATTATTAAAAAATGGAAAATTGGATATTCCAGATCTATTGAAATATCACAGCATAAAGTGCCATCTATTATATGAGTCGACCACTGCGAGAGTGTACGTATATAGCAGCTGCTGGTTGGAACTGTAAAGATCTCAGTTCGCTTCTGATAGTCCAATCACGACTGTGATTGCTAGAGGCTGACAATTTTGGTGGTATAGTAGATGTGGTCTACTCGCTATTGAACAACCTGTAACGGGCTGAGGGTGCTGAAGGCGACCAAGGGTTACATCTACCAATAAAGACACGCAGATTAACAAAGATGATAGCGATAAATAAACAACAAACCGTGAATGAAGATATATATGACTAGTTTTACGCATATCACATCAGTAATCCAAAATCCCACGATCTGGCTTAATGGGTTGTGACTGAAATTGAGCTCAAGAACGATAGCTATGGAGACATGAACTTTGTAAAGTTACAGGATCTTAGGTAGAACAGTTCAGTCTCGAAACGCCGTCAAATTTGAGCATTTTGGTACCTTTCTGGTGTTCTCAGTACTCCTGTCCTTGACAGATATTAGGCCCCATGATATATGACTATTCAAAGCAAAATTGTCCGAGGAACTAATAAAATTTCCTGCGAATTACGAACAGATAATTTGTTTACCAAATGGTCTCTTCCCTAAATTTCACAATTTTTCATTGGGCTGACAATCTGAAAACTTCAGAATAAAACCCATCAAATTATCTTTATTCCATGAAGGATCTACCTATGAATGTATCACCTATATGTATTGAAATTCCGTAATATTCCATTGTTTCCAACTCGAATGCCTCCAGAAAAAAATCCTCAAAATTATTTTTCCATCAAGGAGAAGTACCAAACTACCGCCCATATAAGTTAAATGTTGGCCTCTCTTATAAATTTTCGGTATTAAGGTTTAAAATCTGTATCATATCAGGTGATAGATATGCAGATGTTATTATAGCTTGAGGAAATCGGTAATGCTATGTTAAAGCTATATCAACACATTGCTTAGTGTCTGATAGCTACCACAGATTCTGAGACATAACAATAGTTCAGTATGCAATATGTCCAAGATTAAGATCAATATCTCCCACATGCAGTTTGCAGAATTCGCCTGTTTTTTTTTTCCTGATTGTAAATTCACGAGCTGAATCTGCCTCTAATTTTTTGTTGACAATAATCAACACCCTATATGGAACCTGATAAACTGATCGTCGATTGTTTCTTTAGGTACCTGTACCATACAAAGTAGAAGTCAAAGTACCATACCCAGTCCACAAGCCAGTACCTGTAGAGAAGACTGTCCACGTTCCAGTCAAAGTACACGTAGACAAGCCGTACCCAGTAAAAGTACTCGAGCCACAGCCTTACCCAGTCGAAAAAGTCGTCCACGTTCCTTACAAAGTCCCAGTACCACAACCCTACCCTGTTGAAAAAGAAATCCCTTACCCGTACAAAGTCCCCGTCCACGTACCAAAACCGTACCCAGTTGAAAAGATCGTACACTACCCTGTGAAAGTACATGTTGACAAACCGTACCCTGTCCATATTCCCAAGCCTGTCCCATATCACGTTGAGAAGAAGATTCCTTATCCAGTGTACAAGCCTGTTCCGTACCCAGTCAAAGTTGGAGTAGAACGGCCAATACCTTATCCAGTTGAGAAACCTGAACCTTATGAAGTGAAAGTACCTGTTCCAGCACCTTATCCTGTGATAAAGAAGATCCCGGTACCTGTTGAGAAGCCTGTACCATACCCCGTTAAGGTAAAATTAAAGTCATAGTATTTTATAAAGAAAAATATGATACTCCAGATGGATTGCGTAGGTAGGTGTTTTCTAAAGTAGCTGCAGTTTCTGTTGGAGATGTTTTAGGACGCCAAGTGTAACAAGAATATTTATATGCGCCATTCTGATGAAAGAACAGAAACTGGATATCAAAATAGCGAAATCGAACATGACGTTCTAACTTGTTTTGGGTAGACACACATCACTGATGTATTATTTCATAGTTTCGCGTAAATCTGACAAAGTAAATCCACCGTGAAAGAATGAAGATGGTTGAAAAATGAAGCAACACTTTGATAATACTTTCCTGGCACTTGGTATCATTGTAGCTGTTTTAAGTGTGTTATACATTTAAAATAACTTTAAAATAATATCTGAATTACATATTTTAAGGAATATCTTTTCTGTTAATACTGTTCCTCCAGATCTAATACTACTAACTTGCCAGTTTTTATCATAGCATTTCAGATTCCTAAAATCGAATTTAATTAGTAGCAGATTTTTGCTGGTAGGTACTTTTTCACACGATTAATGTTACAACTTGAAAAGTAATAATTTCGGACCAAAACCGAAAGGGATTTTTCACTCATTTAGAGAAGTTAGTTAGTATAAATAGTTACGTATAAAACTGAACGGTGGAAAATATAAAGATGGCTCAAAAATTAAGCAATAGTTTGGAAGTCTTTTTCTTGCACTTTGAATCGTTATAGCTGTATGCAGTTGCAGTTCTGAGTACCTTATTATACAGTTGTAATATCTTTATATTTTGAAACATATTTTTTCCATTAACGCCTTCTCGATGTTTTACAAACATTGCTGTTTTAGGACATGTAATACTAATAACTCGTCAATTTTTGATGATCATCTTAGATCCCTGAAGTCAATTTTTATTAACAGAAATCGTAAATTTATTAGGGTAGTTATACAGGGGTGGAGCAACGATTTACCGACGGTGTATTGCTTCCAAGCTGAGATTTATTTTAAGAAAACTGCTTACTAATTGCTGCGCACGGATCCAAGGGAAAGCATTTCTTAAGCATTCACAATTATTCAGGGTGCTTTCTTATTGAGCCACGTCAGAGCTACATTTTGAATGGATTCTCCTATTTTTTGTTTCATTTTGGATAGGTCCGTTTTAAAAGATCATTTATATAATGTGTAGATTATACTCGCTAGACAAATCTTGTGGATGAATAACCCTGAATTCAATCTAGGTGCCAGTATTCAACCCAGTACCGGTGCACATAGAAAAGAAAGTACCACATGTGGTAGAGAAGCCAGTTCCGGTGCCGGTGAAGGTACCTGTGCCTGTACCTGTGAAGGAGGAGCACCACGAGCACTATGAACACCATGGTGGATTCGAAGGAGGTCAAGAGCAGCACGATTTCGGAGGACACGATTTTGGAGGAGGTGAAGAGGGTGGCTATGAAGGTCATGAGTACCATCATTAGTGATGACCTTGAGGTTTGTTAGCGTACTTTTAGGTTGTTTTCGATCAGTATTACCCGTGTTGCTTATGTGATTTTTGTTGATACAGATTTAATTTTTATAATAAAATGTGATAAAACTTTCACTTGTGTTTTACTAAAAACATTAATCGGTCCCCAGGTCTAAAATACATTTGTACACTGTCAATACGGAAGATACATAAACTATGGGCATTTCTAAAAAAAATATGCCAAAAATCATGATATAGTAGTGACTGCAATGTCTCTGTTTTCTCTATAAGTTATTTTAATCAATAAGCAGTAGTTATGAACCACTCGAATCAGAAGGCAAATTAATGTACGAATCAACACCGTGACCTTAGTTCTTTCGATGACAAGGTATGTAAGGTTATGGGCGATTATTGTGTCAGTTGAGATAGGTATCAGGCACGAGTATTACGTATCTTGAAAAGTGATATTATGCCGATTTTGTATTTTCCTCTTCGTCATTTGTTCGTCTGATGTACGTTAGTCGAATCTGTCAGTCCTGGTTGCCCAGAAACCACACAATGTCAAGGAAAAAGAGAAACGGAAAGAGAAGAAAAAAGGAGACGAGCAAAGAAAAACAGAAGTGCTTAGTTTAAGAGGAAACACCTAGGCTTTTTAACTTGGTACACGGATTAATTTAGAGGTGAACTAAACAAATTTTGATTCAGGTTTTGTTAGAGTGTAATTTTGAGTTTACTAATTTTTCATTACAGTGCCAGCCTTGGCCTTGAATGTTTACGAACTTGCTACACCGTGTACTCCACTGAGTCACGCAACAGAAGGTCGCTGTGCGATTCCGCTTGACTATAACCTCGCTGCGCCTGAAGCTTAACTTAATCCCTCAAGTAAGGAATATCAAAGTCTCTGTGTAGTGCGTCATTTGAGACATACCATGAAGTGTTGCAAATTGTTCGCAAAGTTCTTCTTTGCAGTACTCGAAGACTTTTCATGTGTGTTTTAGCAAGAAAACACTACGCCGCACATACATAAGTAATGGCTGTTCTAATAATCATTGTATATAGTCGAACTTTGTTTATCAAACTCTATTTGGAGTATCTACATCTCAAAGGATATGCTGCCGAAACGCAATTTGGAATTTTGTTTTCAAGGCTGCTGTATGTTTCTGCCAGGTCATACCTTTATCATGTGTGACACCGAGATACTTGACACAATTTGTCCACAGTACACGATTGCCGTCCACAGAAACCTCTTCTGGGGGGCCGCGACATTTTTTGGTACAATAAATAGCCTGCGTTTTCGAATAAATTTTAATCAGCCACCGTTCCGCCCACTCTAGTACGTCGTCCACCGCAATCTGCACGTCGTGAATCAGATCACCAGTACACGACTGGGCAGGTAGACCTCACAGTTACTGGGGCAAGGGACACCATTGATAAAAAGCGAATAAACGATTGGTCCTAGGACCGAGTACTGCAGAACACTGGCCCGTACTGGCCGTGTTGTTGACAAGACATTGTTAATTTTGATCCGCAACTTCCTTGCTTCAAGAAAGAACTTCAGTTAATTTAGAAGGCAAAAGGAAAAAACCCTCTTTGATTACTTTTTAGAGGAGGCCCGCGTGCCACACCTTGTCAAAGGCTTTTGAGATGCCAGTACTCATGCTGACGGTGAACCCACTGGTTACATGTACCACCAGCCTGACTGCCTCTAGCTTGGAGCTTTGACATTATATTGGTTTTCGTGACATTATGTAGGTTTTTCTACAAGATGTTAATTTAGCACTAGCTGATGGACACTTTGTGAACTCGTTTTGTAGTTGTACGTGTTGCCTAAACGTAATGAGGCTTCAGTTGTCAATGTTTGGCTCTGACTTGATATAAAATCTACTTCAGACATGGCATTATTGGAGGTAACGGCAATGCATAAGTGCATAGAGAGGATTTGTGTGCTAATAATATGTGTTGATGATAATTTCATTGGATTCTTGTCTCAACTACACTTTCTTGAGATTCGAAGCTAGAAATTAGTTGCTCATCCACTTTTTTTCATCCATTCTGGAAATTACATATGAAAATTTGCTGAATTTTAGAGAGAGGTAACAAATAATTATATTCACTATACACTGTCGAATTATAAGTCATATACATGCTAACAGTAATGATACACAACGCGGGCACGCTGGCGATTTCCCGTAATTCTCCTCATAGTTTTTAAAAACACAAAAAACGTAAAAATTGTAATTTATAAGTTTGAACAGAAAGGAGAACATATAAATAACCCGTCGGGCACAGCTAATAGATATACTGATTTTATACACATTCAGTCCAATAACATATTTTTTACGGTACTAGAATGTAGGATTCTGAACCAGGTTATTTTTTCTAATAGCCTTCTGACAGCATACCCCTAGAAGCTGAATGTGAACGCTTTTAAGCACTGCAATATGATATACGTCACAAATGCTCCACAACTGCTAGGCTGCGCTCGTGAATTGTTACGTGATGTACTTTGTAAGACTCTCTCAGAGTTCGTAACTATTTTTTTGGCTTACCTACTTCATGCATTCGGAAATAGCACAAATTATTGTTGCTGGAACGTCGCAAATTCACATTTCTTCCCAAAACCTCATGAATAAGGCCGTTGTCACTGGTCATTCTCATGGTTCATTGTTTGTTTACTTTGTTTGGCTACCAAAAACGTGCTCGAAATTGGCACGATATATATTTTTCACGATAAATCGGACACCTCGTATTCTTATAACAAAAAATAGTCACAGGAAACTTAGTTTTCCTATTCAAAGTCAACGATCACTAGTAACGACTGATAACAGGAGTGACCTCGTCGTAATTGTAAGTCTGTATTCGCGGGAAAATTCAAACCATTATCGTTGATTTGAAACAAATTTTCTCTAAATACATATATTGTTTCGAATGAGTGGGAGAAGGTGGCCCAGAAACACCATCATTTTCAACCCGTGATGAATTTATAAACATGTAAAGACTTACCTTACGTAAGGGATATTGGCAGGGACGTGGTACTTGGATCCAGGGTCAAAATCGATTTCGGACCTCAAAACAGGTGGTTTTATTCCCTGGTATTGCTCACTAAAATAAAATAACCAATTAAGAACATAATATTGAAGAGATATTTCGAAAATTCTAGCGCATTCTACATCCCCGACCATATTCTCTTTCTTGGTAAATTGCCCGGTAAATTGAGTGTGTGGATCCCTATATGAAGTAAGATTTCCGCTGAAAACCTCGAGGGACCAAGAAAGTCAAGTTTTAATTGTCTAACTAGGGCTTGATACTGTGGCATTTTTCGATGTACATTTTCTAAATCAGCGCTCCGAGATACTAGTGTATCGAGCTTCCTTCGCTTTGAAGTTTAAGGGCATACTTGTGAAAAAAAAAATGTAAGAATCTGCAGTATTTTCTTTTTTGACAAAAGCCTGTTTCTTGACGGTAATGCATCGAAAAACTTTAAAGGTATACTATTGCAGAAATATTTCCAAAATTCCAGCGTTTTTGCGATCTCAATCAAACACTGTTCGTTGGATAGAACTGGTGCGTAGATTAACAGCTGCAAAATACCCTAGACATTTTGAAAATTTTCTTCAATAGTATACCTCAATTTTTAATCAATATCTATATTTGTAAATTGTAGTTACAAGTCAAAGAAACTTATATTATGGTATTTGGAAAGTACATTTTGAATATTGTTACCGGTGCCTTATTTAGGGGTAGAATATTTGAAAAACTGACATCATAATCGTGATTTATAACGACAAATACCTAAGTAGATGCCAATGACAGTTATACTGCTCCTTCCTGACTCTCCCACTGAAGACATCTGAGCGCCACTTGTCCATAACAAGAGCGAATGGCAGAAAGACCACCTTATCCAGCGCCATCTTGTACAGGTAGTTTATGTCAACTGTGTTCCTGGAGATAGACGCAGGCATCAAGCCAAGGGCTTGCAGATGTCTGGGAGTGCCTACTGATAGGCCTATGGCTTCACCAATGGCCTCATGGAAAGCTGAAAAAAAAAAAATAAGAAAATATTTTCTTGCTTTCGGTTTAATCTTTCTCCTTGATAGCTTATTCAAAAATTGCCCAAAATAACTAGGTTAAACGCCTAGAAAAGAAGATTACGTTGTTTCGACATATGCATATTGCATGATACTACAACTCGAGAAGATATGCTCACTTCGCGATCGAATTCCGTACCTTTGCATATGACGTCACTCGGTGACAAATATTCCTCTCGACGGTACGAAATGCATTTTTCTAGAGTGTTTTTTAATATTTTATCAGTATTAGATAGAACGTTTTATTTATGTTTTGAAAAATTAACAATAGACAAGTTGAAAGGTTCTAAATAATTGAATTTTTAATCATTGAAAATGCACCTGAGCTTTTTAAACTATACTTTCTTTTGAGCTCCAAATAACCGAATCTTTTTTGTTAATTCAAATTTATTTCAAGTAATCCCTTTCTGCACCAGTGACATATATTAAATTGTTATGTTACCTTTTCATACAAACAAAAAATAGGTAACAAGAGACAGTACAGCAGTATGACATCTTTATGATTTTGTATGAATTGGTATATGCAAATCGATATTTAATATTTCTTAAAGATAGTTGCTAATAAATTTATTTTGTACTGGCAAACACTTTTATTGAGTTTATTTTACAATTTTCATCATTTTCCTCTTCCCAATTCTGGACTGTTTTATATCTCTATTTAACATCCGGATTTATACATTTCACATCCCAAAAAAATCCTTTATATCTCTATCTAATATCCGGATTTATACATTTCACAACCCAAAAAAATGCTTTGCATTTGCAGTGACACAAACAGGTATGGCTAAATCCATTAACGATTGTAAATCATTTTAATGACCGTGTGATAATTGACAAAAATGTGGTCGAGTTCAACTAATTAATCAGAAATTTGTAAAATTTGTGACGCACTTCAGAACCCACTGTTGACAAACCTGTTTGAAAAACTGAAGAAACGCTTTTACTTGAACAACAAAACTGTACAGAAGACCATAGTTAAACGTTTAATTCACTGTTTTGAATCATAGTTACACAGAGATCTATTTGAAACACACAATATAACAAACTAACGAACCTAATCGCAAATGATGTGCTAAAGCGCCATATACGTACGTTTGTCACCTGTTTCTGAGGAATTTTGTCACCGAGTGACGTCACGCGTGCGAAAGAGACTGATCGCATGCACTTGTGTTTTCGAGTAATATCATGGGCATATTGCATTTACTGACTACTAACTGCTCCATAAAAAATGCATCAAGACTGACTGTATAACGAGTGAAGTAATAGGAAGACACCATGGAATATTATAAATAAACGAATTCGGCCTACAAAGGAACATAAACAGATCCAAGAACTAAACCTCGATGGTAGCCATACATAATTATAATATGATCTCAAAACTAGTGTATATTTCAATAGGTTTTTTGCAAATGGACCTCACGACATGTTGCGCCAAGATGTATCAAGTATTATAGTTATCACTCCAAAAGTAAAAAGATCTATTACACCATGTTTCTGCAACCTGCATCAGAAGAAAAAATATACAATATCATTATGAGTTAAAAAATCCCGTTCAGTTGGTGCAAACCAGATCTGCAGTAAAATATTAATAGCGGCTGTAAAATTACATAGTATAACCCTTTAGCATTTTTGGTTAATTTTTCAATGTCTACAGCAACATTTCAAATATTTTTAAAGCAGGTAGAGTGTATTGTACAAAAAAGGATATCAAAGTGAAATAGGGAATTATACCAGTTTCAATTCTGCAATCTCGAAAATTTTGGAAACAACAATATTTAACGAAATTGTGCAGTTTCTGGATCAGCATGATATACTAATGCCATGTCAACACAGATACAAACACAGAACGCCTGCATGCGATTTTCGTTCAACATACCTTATCGTAACCACATAACACCTTACCTAAACAATTTGTCTATACTAAATATGCTAAATCGCAGGAAACATCATTTATTTAATTTCATCTATAGAGTAATAAAATCAGGAAAACCTCCGTATTTGAAAAATGAGCTTTTTATCTTTTAATCATTATTACGGGACAAGACATAACCAGAATTTTTTTATTACTCCTCGACATAGGTCTGCAGCATTTCAACGTTCTTTTTCATTTCTTGCAGTTAAAATGTGGAACAGTCTAAATAATGATGTAAAGGTAATGTCACAAAGAGTGTTCTCAAAGTATATAATAGCCATGCTTCTTCAGGAACAATAATACAATAATGAGTGTGATTGTGCACGGATTTTTTCAAATTTATCTTTTTATTAAGATGGAGAAGCCAGCATGGACCTCGGTTGGCCGCGTGGGTCAGAGTGTCGTGCTACTGATCAGCCGGCCGGCCGGGCCGCGAGTTCGAATCTCGCCTTCGCCATGGATGTTGTGTGTTTGTTTTAGGCAGCAGCGGTGGCCGCAGTAGTAGACTCTTCGGTCTCCTGATCAGTCGCCGTGCGCTGTGCGGGTTCGATTCCCGTCTCCAGGAGAAATGTTTCTCTTGGCCATGGATGTTGTGATTGTCCGTAGGTGGTAGATGGTCTCTGACTGTCGAACGCGGAGGTACCACCCGGCGGTTCTCGTAGGCGGAGCCAGAATGTGTGCATGTTGCATGCACACGTGTTCCCTCGCCAGAGTCCGTGTGGCGTCCCCCCTTTCCCATGTATCCCCCATAGCCCCACGGTACCCAAAGGGTGCTTAGGCCTCAGGCCTTCGTGGTAGTTGGAGTATAAAAAAAAAAAAAAAAAATGTGATGATAGATGTTGTATGTGTGTGTAGATGTATTTCGGTGTTGTTAACTGTATGAGGGTTCGTCGGTGTGGCTTCGCGTCCGTTGCTTTCTGCCGCTCTTCACCCCCTCTCCGGTGCTCCCCACCCGTTGGAACGTTGACTTTTTAAGTTAGTAAATACATTTTGTTTTCTGCAATATCAATGGTTCATGCTCGTAATAAATAAAATCACTAAATTCCAGTATATCGTTTGTCTATTATGTGTGTAAAATTAGTGTAACACAGGGCATTTTCACACCCACCCTACTTATGTAAGGCTGGGTGTTAACGGTCATTTGATCGAGGATTTGTCCTTTTTGCCAAAAATATTGTGTGTATTTTCTATAATACAATAAATATAATGTATTTTTTTTGTTTTTGTTCTTTGGCAAATAAATGTATTTTGAATTTGAATTTGAATTTGAATTTGAAAATAATCGAGGTATTCAGTTTACTATAATTCAGTTCTTCAAAAGATTATATTTGTATGACTCACTGGATAGCGGGGAAAATGTATGGGTCTATTTTTGGATTTACGCTAGGCCTTTGACTTCATGACGTTCTGAACGATAAACTTTCTAAATACGGTCAAAGAGGAAAGATTAATGACTGGGTTATTAGTTGCTTGACAGAAACCAAATAGAAGATATTGCCGGTTACAGCTTATTGATGTAGGGGTCGATTTTGGGTCCGCTTTTATTTCTGTTGTAAATAAATGATCTGCCACTTTGAAGGCCATGAAAATAACATTGCTCTGTTTGCATATGATAACACATATGGTGTAAGCGAACAACAAATCAGTGTGTAGCAGAAATGAAAGCGATAACCCAGAATTTTACTACCTGGTTTGGAAATACAATTTTCTGCAAGGTCTAATATCACAGATGAATCCTATTTATTGCGTATGAATTGGAAATCTATCGAGCAATCAAATTGTTCGAGGTTGTTTCGAATCTATATTAATGATACTCTGAGTTTCGAAGAGCCTATTGTGCAATGAATTGTCTTCAGCTTGTTTCCCCCTCACTCGTATACAAATTTGTTTGTAGTAAGCCTCCTTTGCTACCCTGCTATTATGCTTAACTTTACTCTTATTATGGGGTTCACCTTGATTCTTATCATGAGTGATTATATTGCAAAAAAGAGCTGTTAGGAACAGGTTTGGTTAATCGTCTAGAGAGTCATGCAGGTCTTAGTTTATACAAGAAAAATTACTCACTCTGTCATCAACTCATATGACTGAATTGATAATGTATGCAAAACAAAATTTAAATGAGTTTTTAACAAATGCCGATTTACCCAGCTATGAAACTAGGAACATATTTTGCCTACTCATATTTGTGACTTTTTGAAGTCTCCAATACATATATGGCAACCAAATTATATAATAAGAGTATAATATATATATATATATATATATATATATATATATATATATATATGTGAAAGTTCAAAGGAGAACTGTGTAAGTAATTTGAACAAAAAGCATGTTAGGATATAAGGGAATTCTTGGGTATGTGATACCTATTATAACTTGTCTGTTTATGTGATACTGATTTTAATCTGTTTGTACATGTGCTACCTATCTCTCAGGCTGTCTGTACAAGCCCTACATTTGTATTTGTGACGTTTTCTTTTTTCCTTTACCCTTGTAGTCCACTGGAATTATTATTATTATTATTATTATTATATTATTATTATTATTATTATTATTATTATTATTATTATTATTATTATTATTATTATTATTATTATTATTATTATTATTATTATTATTATTATTATTATTATTATTATTATTAGACTTAGTCGCACAGAACGACCAAATGTTGGTTCGCCTTGTATTTTTATAACGAAGTGGTTTTCGAAAAATTGTAAATCCAATGTCTTTGAATGATCCAAACACCCTGTATAGTCGGTATCAGGTGTATGGCCATCCAGGTACAGTCATAGAACAGGTAGTGAAAGTGAAGCAACAGATGCCTATTGAGCAGCCTATCGAATGGGCGCAAGTATATTCTACCGTTTATTTAACGTTTCACTTTTCTCGAATCGCGCCGTTTGAAAAAAGACACACAAGTCGTAGCTTCCTTATTGATGGCTGTACAAAAGAGTACCAAATGAGAATTTCGATGTATCCTAGATAACAATGATTGAAGCTGCATTGGACTATCTAAGAAATTGTGACAAGTAGGTTAACTCTGTACCTTCTTCCCACGCAATGCTGACATCAGTTTATAATGGTTATATTCAGTTTGTTTCTAAATATAAGCTCGGAGAAATTGAAATTTTAAAAAAGTATATCAAAGCAATTTCTGTATGTGGGACTCAACCTACTTGGCTACGATATTTAACAGGCTGAATAAAATCTTGTATTTTCATAATTCTATTTGTTTATTCAACGAGAAGTTATATATTGTAGTAGTCGTAGCAGATGCTAAAACGAAAGATATATTCACTTACATCTGAACCTACTGAAAATTAACGTTTCTATTTCAACGACAAATGTATGAAAAACATGTGTTATTATTATTTATAACAGGAGCGTATGTAGAATTATCGGGATCAGAAGTTAAGCATAATAGCATCTTCCATCAGTACCGAAACGTCGTAAATAGTAATTCTTAGGTCTGTTCGCGGCATCAAAAATGAGGTATGAAAATGAATGATTTTTTTTTCGTTTTCTGTTTGTGAAGCCATTGGATCAATTTTAAAAATCTATAAAGCTTTTTGTTAATGTTTCAAAAGACTTAATATCTCTGGCTAATTGATGTAGGCGGTAGGAAAAACTCTAAGTTGACTCTGTACCTCCCTCATCAGTTCGTAAAGGATTATGTTTGGCACAAGCCAGCCCTTCTGAGGAAAGAATTACTACGGACATGTACAGGGTGGCCAATATATAATTGATTGATTTGAATTGGGTGCCATTTCTGATATACTTATTTCAGTAGGTGGCGGCGTAGAAGTTGCTTAAAGCACATGTGTCCAATTGATCATGAAGCGCTACACGATCCCACAACACGTCCGTATTGCTGAAACGTTTTACTTAAATAATGAGTTGATTGTTGCAACGATTCGGAAGCTACGACAAGATTTCGGTCGAAATAAAGTGCCCAGTGTCAACACCGTTCGACAGTTGGTAGTGAAATTTGAACAAACAGGTGAAGTTAAAGATTTTCCGGACCGTGCTCGAACTGTTCGTACTCCGGAAAATATCGAGAAAGTTCGTGAAAGGGTAGTGGAGCACCCTGAGACGTCTACCAGACATCGTTCTTAAAAACTAGGTAACCGTAGCACGTCACTATACACTATTTAAAAAAAGACTTGCATTTGCGGCTATACAAAATTCAGTTAAGCCAAGAACTTCAGCCTAGTGACTATGAAAGTCTCCGACAATACATGCAATATTGCAATTTCATACCCAAAATAACGATTTTTACCGATGAAGCCCACTTCGATATGAACGGATTTCTTAATAAGCAGAATTGTCGTATCTGGTCGTCAGTGAACCCTCGTGTGATCCATCAATGACAACCACATACTCGTCGAGTCACAGTTTGGTGCGGTGTTAGGTATGGAGGTGCCACTGGACCTAACTTCTTTGCTGGTAATTTTCTTTCTCAAATCCAACAATTTAACCTACAAAACATGTGTTTCCAGCAGGACGGAGCAACTTGTCACAGAGTTTAATTTCTCGATTTGATAATGTCAACTGGCTACCAAGGTTGCCGGATTTGACGGCTCATGACTTTTTGTATGAGGATTTTTGACAAATAGAGTTTATGCCAAACACTGTGGCGCAGCTGAAGAACAATATTACGGAAGCGATTGAAAGTATTCCTTCCGAAACCTACCAAAAAGTGATGGAAAGTGTAATCAAGAGAGCTCAGGTTTGCGTGGCTTCTAGAGGCGGACATTTGTCTGATATTATTTTTCATACATAATTTCTAAGTTTCAATAAAAGATTAGTATGAAAAAAATGGACGTATTTTATTTCATTTCACAAATATGCATTCAAGATACAAACCAGTCAGTTACATATCTATGACTAATACCGCGTGAATTACGACATTGTCCTCCACTATGCACAGTGCACTCAGGCCACAGCAGAGCGGAAGCGATCGCCGACAGTAACGTACGACCTCCAACGACTACGCTTGTCTTTCAGGGGATGACGTCGTAAAAGTACGGGGACATCTATAATGACTGAAATATGCCTAATATGTACGTAAAATTACTGGGCAGGCATCCAAAAAACATGATAACTCATTCTCGAAAAATTTTGCAACTACAATACTTCACCGCCAGTAGGCGAAGAATCTTCTTAATGCTAATCTCTGAAACATAATTTATGAGACTTATGGTACCTACCTGGATTAGCTCCGTCCCTGAATACTTTAGGCTGATTCTTATACTCCATGAAGTAGTAAATGTGAGCCATTTCATGGTGCGCGGTTATCAAATCTTTCATGTTCACATGAGTGCACATCTTTATCCTGAAATGTCAAAAATTATTAAATAGCTATGCCTTTATCTTTTTCTCAAATAATTTTGTTTAATGATGGCTATTGGGAAATGTCACTCTTATAACCCAGTTAAGTCCCTTATAAATAATTATTTGATATCAATGCTCAGCCTGTAGATATCATATCGAGTCAAGGAAGAATTTAAATGAATGATTTTTTCTTTTTTGTTATCTTAGATAAATTTATGTTTTCTTTTTATCTTTTGTGTTGAAGAGCTACAACAACAATTGCATAGATCTATTTCTCAGTTGGGTATGATAAAGACAAGTTATTATTTTTAGTAAAACAGTCAACAAAATAGAGGTTTCGCTACTTATCGCCTATTGAAGTCTCCGTCTAGTATCTGGGTGATAAATCATTTATTTATGCAACCAACTAGGCAAATTGGTGTTTAGATATCTACTCACCTATAAAAAGGATATTTTGTTGTAGATATGTTTGTACAAATAAAGCAATTGGCTGTTAAGTGAAGAGTTTAAAAATGCAGCCGAGGAGGACATTTTTTGAGCCGAGAATAATTTTTATTCAAAAAATAGCTATAGTCCAGTATCATTTCTTATAAACTCTGTATTTGTAAAGATCATATGGATTATTTTGATATATGAGTACCTGAAGTCTCTTCGGTTGCAGAAATCCCAAGCAGATGGTTGGCATAATACAATCCTGTCAATAGGTTCCTCAAGAACAGAACCTTGCCAAAATTCCAGTGGAAGTGCACTCATATTTATAGAAACAAAAAAGTCCTCTGCTAGCCTGAACAGGTCTGCTGGTGTATAACCCTACAAAAATATGATTTATGCTGAAGCGCTCTATCATCTCATTCAGACTGATTCTCATACTATGTAGCCAACAAAGTCAGACAAGGTAGAAGGAGCTAGTCAAGCATTCGTTTATCTCCTAACTCTCTCAGGCTGAAGTGAGGATCAAAATGTATTTGACTTAGGTCAATGTCGTTGAATTCGTATATTCAGTGTTATTTTTTAAAAGTGCAAGTGTTTGTAGATACTTGTGGTGCTACTCGATTTCAACACATGGTAGGTACTTCTTACATAATTTGCAAAGCGCAGCACAAGCCTAATGAAGGTTGATGTTTCTACCGGTAAGCATTACTGTTGTGTTGCTAAAACGCTGTCATTTTGACAGACATTGGTAGAAAATGGAGTAAAAAATATGCATTAAGGCCCGTATCGTCAGTTGTCCCTACAATTGTAGGGCGCCTTTATGGCCTCCTTGATTGTCATAGTTTTCTACTTCTCCGTGTCAGCGCTCTATTTTGAGGTTATGTCACAAATATCAATTTGCATCACATTGTGCTTGGTTTTGAGTTATATCATGTTTTATCTTCCTGAAATTTCCTACAATTTAAAAGGAAAACAAATCTTCACAATAGGAGAGCGCTGACGCTGACACGGGACAAATGTAATCTAGAAATTTTTGAAGGAGAGAAAGGAGTATGACAATCAAGGAGGCCATAAACGCGCCCTACAATTGTAGGGTCAACTGAGATACGGTCCTAAAACTACCCAATGTTGTTGATAAAAAATGCAAACATATAGACTTGGTTCCTTCTAATCTATTCGAATTCGTTGGTTGGAGCATAAATATTCATAACGTTAGTATAAGTAAAAACTAATTACTGTGAAATTGCCTATCTTGTTAAAATTGAGAAATCCATACCTGCTTTAACATTTCTGGTGTTACATCTAAGAAAGTTTGACCAGGGTAAGGCTGGGTAATATCGAATATGTTGGTCCACGATTGAGCCCACATATTTCCTAGTATATGCGCAGGTAGAGGTGCCTGTCTACTTATCCTAAAAAATAGTAGATATCGTTAATATTATTAGTAAAATCACAGAAGTTATTTTAAGCATATTATATGGCATAATGAAATTGTAAATATAATTTATAAAAAGCGTCAGTAATGAAAATTGGTATTTGGGCAAGGTTGTCGTCTTTTCTAGATTTACCTTTCAGGTCCATAAAACTCCCTGAGCCTTCGTCGGACGTAAGTAAGGAGTTGGTCATAAAACGGCTTAACTTCGTCCCATGCATTTTCCAGGTCTTTGAAAAGATCTGTAGACTCAAAAGGAAAGCTCCAGTATTCAGCGGTATCAGTAAAATCTGAAAAAAGGGAAAGATGCTGAAAACTTACCAAAAAAGTAATGGCTTGTCGCTTTAAATCGGCAAAGTGCTTAGTTTCGATTGGCACTCGATGAACGTGGACTATGCATTTTACTTTTAAATTAGAATTTCGAACTTATGATTCTGTTTTGATACTAAGCTAAATCGTATAATCTCCCACGTAGAGCTCTAGAAGCTAATTTGCTAATATACAGGGTGTTCCTTAGTGATATGCGAATATTTAAGGGTGTGAACCTACCTGAAAAATTAATTAACTATGATCATAAATGTTTCCTTACAAAAACTCGGGGTGTTGAAGTTTTAGGAAAAAATGGAAATTAATTAATATTTTCAGAACCGCTTCAGATATTTCACTGATATTTAGTACGTAAGTGAAAGTCAATAAAGTTGCATATTTTTCAATGCAATAATGATTTTTAGCCTTAACAGTGGCGTGCGTATTGGGTATTGACTTCGGCATTTTTTAAGAAAAAAATGGTACGCCAATGGTTTTTTGTCAAATAAAAATTATTTGTGAATTCCCCGTTCAATTTTAAACAAATGATCTATCCTGAATTGTTTTCCTTCGATGCGCCATTTTTGAGTAAAAAAATAAAAACCGTTCTATTGTCTAACTTGCAAAATTATTATTAACTTAATTGGAAAAATTAAACACATTAGGGGTACTGAGCAACAACAACTAACGACATAAACATAACATTGAAACCAAGGAAATGATTACAAAAATTGTTGAAAATTGCCCCCTCCTTCCCATGGAATTGCGCACTCGTTGAAATATCCCTGGGGTGTTTTTTATTCTATCACAAGCTGCAACTATTCTTTCTCTTAACTCCTCTACAGTGTTAATGGGACTTGTGTACACTAGTGTCTTAAGATAGCCCCACAAAAAGAAATCTAAACTGTTGAGGTGGCCATTCTTGGGGCCCACCGCGGCCAATCCAACGATTTGGATAAACAGTTTGTAAATAATTACGAACCGCTACACTGAAATGCGCTGGTGTACCATCATGCATGTACCACATATTATTTCTTATTAATAACGGAATATCATCAAGCAGCAAAGGCAACTGTTGTTGAAGAAAATTGAGGTCAGTATGTCCGTCAAGTCGTCCCGGCAAAAAGAATGAGCCAATAAAGTGGTTGCCAATAATTCCTGTCCATACGTTAACCGAAAATTGGTGATGGAAATGGGCTTCGGTTACGGCATAGGGATGTATGGAAATTATTGTGGAAATTCTGAATGGCATTTCGAGAAAAATTAGCTTCGTGCGTGAACAGAATCATTGATTCAAATTGTGGATCTTGTGTAATTTTAGATACCAATGACAAAAGGTCACACGCCTAGGAAAATCAATGGGAAGTAATGCCTGTACTCTTAAAATATGGTAAGGATATAACAAAAACCCACTAAAACTCTCCAAACAATTTGATGGCAAATATTTAAGTATCTAGCGATCTTCCTCGTACTCATTTCAGGATGTTCTTCGACTTAGTGCAGCACTGCTTCCTCAATTTCAGGTATTCTCACACTTAGAGGTTTACCTTCAGATGTCCCTTTTCAGACAGAACCAGTTTCAACAAGACGACGATGAATGTTAGAAAAGGTTCGACTATCTGGCAAAGCACGATCGGGATATCTCTGATGATAAATCCGTCTGGCTTGCTCACCATTACCATCAGCAAGGCCATATACGTAATGCTTTTCCGCCTTTTCTGCATTTGAATAATTCACCATTCTTAACAAGATTGTAAAAACTAAATGATGAAAAATATGTCACAGCGAACAGAGACTTGTCAGATGTCAAATGCAAGTGACATATTCCAGAGCAACTAGATATTTATTGCTAAATAGCATTATTCAATTATTTCATTAATTTTCTCGGACAATAGAACGGTTTTTATTTTTTTACTCAAAAATGGCGCATCAAAGGAAAGCAACTCAAAAGAGATAATTTGTTTTTAATTGAACGGAGAATTTAAAAATAATTTTTATTTGGCAAAAAATCATTGGCGTACCATTTTTTCTTAAAAAACATCGAAGTCAATACTGTACACACGCCACTGTTACAGCTAAAAATTATTTTTGCATTGAAAAATATGCAACTTTATTAACTTCCACTACGTACTAAATATCAGTGCAATATCTGACGCGGTTCTGAAAACATTAATGAATTTCCGTTTTTTTCCAAAAACTTCAACACCCCGAGTTTTTGTAAGGAAACATTTTTGGATTTTTGGACCATAGTATATAGAGCAGACTAACATTAATTTTTCATGTAGATTCACACCCTTAAATATTTGCATATCATTGAGGAATACCTTGTATAACTTATAGGCTTTACGATTAACTTGTTTTCATAAAAGTAAGAAACAGTATTTATATGGGCGAATTTTGCTTTTTAATAGTAGTATCAAGAGATACACCAAAAACTTAAAATATAGTAATCTGTCATGGTAAAGATAGTAGTAGTAGTAGTAGTAGTAGTAGTAAATTTTCGATAAATTTATTCTCAATCTTTGATAGATGTCAAGTTTTGAGAACTTAGAGAAATCAATGATATGAGAAAAAATAGATGTTAAGTCAAGATCTGATGTCTCTAGATACTCGAAGATTGAGAGAAAAGATGTAAGTTGAAGTTGTACTTTGAAATAGATGGATGTTCCACATTCAGCTACTTATTAGTAGTGAAAAAATATATTTGGTGTTTCAATATTCGACTATTACCAGTGGGGTCTCAGAAACGGTAAGAAATACGAAATATGCAATGTTGCGTATTTAGCCAAGTACCGCTTAGAAAGTTTCATAAAATCGTTTTAGTTTTTTCTCACTCTATTTGAGATGCGGCTTTGAAATATATTGCATGTTGTCACTGCCTCTTTTTCTCCTCTACTAAATGGCGTGTTAAAATTTTCGATTCGAAGTTTTTCATATGGACGCTATATTGGAATTCTATACAGTTAAATACTACTAAAATACATCATCTTAATCTAACATGTGAAGTTTATTGTGACATAAATAAATGTATTATATTCTAAATTAAATGCTGAAAGCGTGTTCTATTGTGCAAAATTCCAAAGGGGAGAACGCAGGAAGGTCTAATTAAGAATTTGACTTCGCCCTGTTGTAGAGGAGAAAGAGTGGCGATGTTAATATGCAATTCATTTTAAAATTTCAGTTTAAATAAGCCAACGATTTTTCAATGAATCCAATATACTAAACAAAGGCCAATCTGATAATTCCAAGACATACCTAGGAAATTCTATATTTTGAAATAACTAAGGTTTGGCGATGTGCATATTGTATATTTTTGGAATCAGAACTAAAAACTCCATTCATCTTTGCTAAAAACCAATATGGCGTCCTTTAGAAAAAATAAAGATGATACTGGAACACAAGAGACGAAATGTTCCATTGAAATTCTAATTATACCTACCATCTTATAGTGTGTAATTCATTTTGAGATCCCACTACAAATAAAGCCAGGACAAAATCAAAACGATTTTGGGAAAATTCGTTCTTTTCCGTCTCCGTCTCCAGAAGTACTATTTCGTAGGTTTGTGAGTTACCTAGACACGCATCTTTGCCTCCCGGCACAAAAACAATGAACTTTATTGGATTACCTCTATTATTTATCGAAGAAAAAAAGCTCTGCTCTAAATAAATCACCCATTACAACTGAAACCTACTATTCAACTTCGAAGCCTGATTGCTTAGCCGAACCATCTGCTCGAAGGGATCCCTCATCTTCTGTCCAGTTTGGCGTCGCCATTCGGTCCATACATGCTGCAGCTCGTCCCAGTTCCTGCTCTTGGCCATAATGGCCGTGAGGTCAGGCTGCAACCGAAGGTCGCACCTCAGAGGCTCGAGATAGGCGCATACGGAGGCGCTGTTGTAGATCGCGAGCATGTCGTTGATCAGGCGGTTGTACTGAAAAAAAAACATGATATTTCGAGCAACAACAAAATTCTCTGAACTACGCCCTTTGTGATCGGAAATTATCAACGGCTTTTTCAGAATTTCGTCCTCCCTCACTTTTTTATTTATTGCGGATTAATCCGCCATCATTAAATCGGATTTAAAAAGGTATCATCATGAGGGTAACCCAAGAGTACGGTTTAGGACCGTATCGTCAGTCGTTCCTAAAATTGTAGGACACCTTTATGGTCTGCTTGATTTTGATAGTCTTTTCTCTCCTTCAGAAAGGCAGGGGTATTTCTAGATTCCTACTGTTCCTTGTCAGCGTCAGCGTTTTCCTATTATGAAATTACTCTTATGTTTTCTTTTTGAATTGTAGGAAATTTCAGACAGATGATATAAATCAAAATCATGAACAATCTAATGGAAATAGGTATTTGTAACATAACCTCAAAATAGAGCGCTGACACGGAACAGTAGATAGCTATGAAAATCAAGGCGGCCATAAACGCGGCCTACAGTTGTACCAACGACTGACCATACGGCCCTTAAAGTACAAACATAAAGCCATTTCTCTACAACTATAGCCATTCCGGTCAAGACATGTTTGTATATCATGTTGCAGTTTTTGTGTGCCCATGTTACACCAGCTCACCGCCAGGTTATTTAAAAAACATTGACATGGGCGCCCGCAAGAGACGGCTTAGAATCCAGTTAGACCTTGAAATTTGCATATTTAGCATGCTTTTGTGTACAGTTTTGGAGACCTTTAACACTGAACTTCAATCTTTCACGTCGTCGTCAAAACAGAATCGTCTGGTTAAAAGCTCCGTCAACTCAGGATGGTAGTCACTGAATGCAAAGTCCGGACGATAAGGTGGCGATCATACAGACCGACGAGACTTTTAACTAAGAGCAAAGCTCCACCGGACCGCTCTGACGAATAATGACGAATAGTAGTAGGCGATCAGTCATTCAAGTTGTTACGGTTAACCGTTTGAAAAGCGACGTCTGGTGAGAATGCTTACGCTATTGCCCAAAATTCCTCTTCCTTGGTTCTGAGTTGCAAGTCTGAGTTTTTTTGTCAGTGTTTCACAGTACCTACTACCATATGTTCTCTAGGTCGAAAAAGCACATTTGTTATGTAATTCGGTTTTCGGGAACATCAGTCAACGTTTCAGACATTAGGCACGGTGGTGGAAGACATAACCATGGCCTTGAGAGGGGCAAACCGGTGGGTCTCACTCATGTTCCACTGACGCGAATGCGTCGACTGCCTGTTCTTCAATAACCGAAATTATCCACGTCGGAATAGAGGGATACATTGCTCACACAGTGAAAGTGCCTAAATCACGGTCCAACGGCTGGTTTAACAAATTGTGTGACACTGCTCGCCAGCAGAAGATCAAGGCACACAGAATCTTGTTACAAAACCCCACTGTAGAGAACAGACAAACCGACGTCAAGTCCAGAAACAAATATAACGAAGCGGTTCGCAATGCCAAAAACCAGCACGATACAAAAGTTAGGCACACCAGTTACTTCCGATTCACAGGCCAAGGCCGAAGTGCTTGCCAAGATCTTTGATGCCAACTCCACCATGAACGTCTCCCTTACCAACGCCCAAGTCCCGTCAATTCAAAGGGGTCTCTACACTATGCGAGAGGTATCATTCAGGCATAAGACCGTAAGACGAGTGCTCTTGTCGCTCGACATCAACAAAGCTTCTGGTCTGGACTTGATACCTGCCATTGTACTGAAGATGTGTGCAGCGGAGCTTGCTCCAGTTCTTTCGCGTCTCTTCCAGATATCTTATGAATCCGGCAGTCTTATGGTGAGGCTAATGTCGTTGCTCTTGATATGACGAAAGCGTTCGATCAGCTGTGGCACGCTGCCCTTTTAAGCAAACTTCCATCCTATGGCCTCCCAGAAAAGCTTTGCGGATCGGTCTTGGCTCCGACACTGTCCCTCTTACATATCAACGACCTCCTTTCTTGCACGATCAACCCAATCCACAGCTTCGCTGATGACAGCACTCTACATGCATGAATTCAGGGTAACAAGCCAATCTCTGCCGCTGAGCTGGAAAAAAAAGACTAGCTACGACTTCCTCTCTGACGAGAGACCTGGAGGTTACCACCGTTTGGGGACGCAACAACCTTGTACAGTTTAATGCTTCCAAAACACAATACTGTACTTTGACGAACAAAAAGCATAATATCGCTCATCCGGTTTCAATAGATGGCCGAGTTCTGCCAAAGAGTCATTTATTTCGCCTGGTCGGAGTCCAGATCACCGAGGACCTGTCTGGAACGAACACATCTCGTCAATAGCGGCAGCTGCTGGGAAAAAGCTAGGCTATTTGTTTAGGGCTAAGAAGTACCTTTCTCCGCATGACCTTCTCACTCTATACAAGGCCCAGATAAGGCTTAGCCTCGAGTATTGCTCACACGTTTGGGGTGCTGCCGCCCCGACTACATTATTTATTCCGGATGCTGTCCAGAGAAGGGCGGTCCGACTGATCGATGACTCTTCTCTAACAGTCAGTCTCGGGACCCTTTCGCACCGGCGGGCCGTCGACGATCTAGCTCTTTTATATCGCTACACCAACAGGCTTTGCTTCCAAGAGCTCTCTTCCATGATGCCGCCGCGCGATGTACTGCCAGACAGACCCGCCTGTCTTTATCCTCCCATCTTAACCGTGTCGAACTTCGTACATCCAGAACTGGCCGATACTACCGCTCCTTTGTCCCGAGGGTGTCGATATTGCGGAACAATCTACAAGAGAAAGCTTTTCCCAGTTCTACTAACATTAAGCAGTTCAAAAATTGTATGAACAAAATTTCTTTGGGAAAATCATAGCACCCGCGGTGTCTCGGCATTTAGGCTGCTTTAGTATAAAAAAAATTAGCAACACAATATGTGTTTCTGAACTAGAATAAAACATACCGGAGATTAAAATCAAACGTTTATAATCATCTAAAATTAAGTTGGAGCAAAATACAAGAAATAATGTTTTCGGAACACAATAATCAAAACCATTCAGTAAAAAGAGTGAAAATAGTATGCATAACCATAGACAGACGGCTAAATTGACAGACACATGTGATGTCCTTGAAATGCAAATTGTTTTCGATGTGCAAGGTGTTTTAGAAAGGCGTGGCAATATTTCTAGGGTAGAAATTACACCCAAAAATAACAAAAAGGTTCCTATACATATGGGTCAAAAGATGCTCCCCGACCGAGTTTCGATGTGATGAAGTTTAATTTACGAAATTAAAAAAAGTATATCTACGGAGCGGTTAAATATACTGTTAGTATTTTAGACGTGCAGTGGGCACATCACCAGCGATAAAGACAGAGTTTTATGACCCAAACTGAACCAGAGACGTAGAAGCTGGGGTACATGGATCCTTAGTAAGAAATATTTTCTACACACCTGAGCTTTTTGGAGAAAAGCAGTGCTCTTCATAAAATACCATTTAATTTTCCATAAATTTTCTCCCTTGAGGAATTTTTGTCAGATCACTCGTTTTGGAGATATTTGGGTATGAACATTTGAGGTGGATCCTAAAATATTTTCATGAAAAGGTTTAGCCTCCCCTATTCTGAAAACACCGAGAATCATTATGGCTATGGCCTCTCATAACAGCATTAATTGGGTAATATGCGAGTCTTATCCTCGATCAGAAGCGTAAAAGCTTACCATTTATTAAATCTTGTCTATGCATGGCACTGGTTTTTATGGTATACTTCTGGTTATACCCATGTTAAATTCTTCTGGTTGTCTATAATCACAACTAGTAATTGTGGAACCAGTCAATTAAAAAATCTTATCATTTTACTTCTGAAACTTTCGGCCCTTTCTTCTCAAAATTCTTTTGCATTTAGGATTAAGTGAGCTCAACAAAGAAGATATCAAAAATCGTTAGCAACTCCGAACATGAGGTCGAAGTGTATATCTTTCTTACAACAGCTAGCCTAGCTTAGCTTAGTTGCATAACTTCTTAGTTTCCAATTCACTTACCCTGTCCAACTGATCAGGCGGTAACGCAGCAGGTCCCACAACTGAGTAATAACGAATCTGCCTATAGGTTTGTGGATCAACCCTGTTCAAATCGCCAACGCTGTTCAGGAGGTTCCAAAGCTCATGTTGAAACTCCGAATAAAGCTGCTGTGCTTGTATCTGAAACATTATAAAGGTAACTCTTGATACGAGGGATGTCTTTTCAGTTTTGCATATAGAAACATAGTAGGCCGCTCGGATCGAGCGTCAGTAGTGAATCTTAACCTCACTCTTTAGTAAACTTAAATTCAAAGTTCCACAACAATACGTGCAGTGTTCTCACTACAGCGAATTTTTAAGTGTCACCAAGTCATTAGAAAAATGGAACCCAACCGAGAACATTTTCGCGCCATAATTTATTACAACTTTCAGAGACAATTATCGCAACAAGAATGCCTTGCTGAGTTACTGTCTGTTATCGGTAATGAAGCGCCACATCAGTCGACAATTTCCCGTTGGTATGAAGAATTGAAACGTGGACGGGTGGGTCTTAGCGACGATCCCAGGGTGCGTGCACCAAAAACGGCAGTCACCCAGGAAAACGTCGATGCTGTGCGTAAACTCATCATTGAATATAGACATGTAACATATCGCGAGATTGAGGCGTCCTTGAAGATCTCAAAGACCTCAATTCAAAAATTATACATGTAGAATTAGGAGTAAGAAAATTAGTTTCTCGTTGGATACCCCACCTGTTGACTGAAGAGCAGAAAGCAGCCAGGGTTAATTGGTGTCAAAAAACGCTTGACCGTTTCAATTCCGGAAACTCAAAAAATGTGTACAGCATTGTTAGTGGTGATGAATCATGGATTTACTGTTATGAACCAGGAAATAAACGACAGTCGGCTGTTTGGGTGTTCCAAGGTGAAGAAAAGCCAACAAAAGTCATCCGTTCTCGAAGTGTTTCGAAAAAGATGGTCGCGACATTTGTGTCAGAAGCGGCTCATATTACAACAATTCCTCTTAATGAGCAAAGAACTGTTACTGCGAATTGGTATACCACCATTTGTTTGCCAAAAGTCATCATCGAACTTCGAAAAATCAACCCGGAAAGAAGAATCATCCTCCACCAAGACAATGCAAGCTCGCACACAGCCCAAAAAACAATGCAGTATTTAACGGAAGAAAACGTGGAATTATTGGACCATCGTCCATATAGTCCCGATCTAAGTCCTAACGATTTCTTTACTTTCCCGAAAATTAAAAACAGACTGCGTGGTGAAAGGTTCCAGTCACCAGAAGAAGCAGTTGACTCATTCAAAAATGCCGTTTTAGTTCTGCCAGCAAACGAGTGGAATAAGTGCATCGAAAATTGGTTCGAGCGCATGCAGATGTATATTAATCTCCGTGGAGAATACTTCGAAAAACAATAAAGTCATTTAAAACTACCTACCGTGTTATTTTATTTCCATATGCAAAACTTAAAATACATCCCTCGTAAAAAGGTATACGTATATACCACAGACAGTAGCATATTTTCCATTTCATTTCAAAGCAAAATCAACATTTTGCCTCCAAATAGTATGTGTATGTTTCTACTTTTTCTACGAAGCACTATTTAAAAAACCTCAGTTTCTCTTCCTACGCCTAATGGCGCTGAAGTATTGTAATCGCGCAAAAAATCGAATGTATATTGCGAGAGAACATGTAACTCATTTCCGTCCGACTGTCTGTCGCTATATCCGCTAATCTTATGACCGTCCTATATCTTGACAAATACCGTTCGGACTTCAAAGAAACTTTTACACAATGTTACTACTATGCCAAAGAAACAAAATCTCTGAAGTTTTTGAAAATTAGTTCAGTGGTGGCAGAGAAAAAGAACAAAAACGAAGAAGGGTAAAAGTCGCTCAAACTTCATCTTTTGACATTTCAATTGATCCAGATAGGCTTTGAAAAATACTTTAATAATAAAAAACTTGAGGGTGGGAATGGTAACGGGTTGAGGAGGGTTTATCTCATTTTTTTATGTCAGCATATTTATTCGCTCGCAACCTTGGTAATTCTACGCACCTATTTGACATTCACACATCATAGATTTCTCCGTAGATTAACCCTTAAAACCTAGAAGAATACTCTCAGCTGACGGATCGAGTGCCTGTCGGCCGCAGCTGTTGCTCCCGGCCGCGTACCGCCCGCCGGCCTTGATGAGTGTCCCGTCTTTTTACTATGGTATTACACATATTTTTGCCACACCATACCATAGTGTTTTCTATGCTCTGACAGCGCTGCCACGTCAGACCGTGAGAGAGGCGCCGTGTCCAGATGTAGAGCAGGTAAAGGATGTCTATGAACTAATTGTATGGTCCTGTTTGACTGACGACTTTTTTCCGAGGGTCTAGATTGTGCTGAACATAATCCTGTGTCAACTGATAACGCCGTTGCGTGGGAAGTACAGAATCAACCTACATGACGCTATTTTTTCCCTAAGCGAAAGCAATGGCAAGGCGGATGGTTCTTAACATCGGTTGTAACCAAATTTTTACAGGAGACTTTAACGATAAGTCAGCAAAGAAACTCAGATGCACCACTAAGGCCAGTATCGTCAGTCGTCCCTACAATTGTAGGGCGCGTTTATGACCTCCTTGATTGTCATACTCCTTTCTCTCCTTCAAAAATTTCTAGATTACACTTGTCCCGTGTCAGCGTCAGCGCTCTCCTATTGTGAAGATATGTTTTCTTTTTAAATTCTAGGAAATTTCAGGCTGACAAAACATGATATAACTCAAACCTCTCAAAATAGTCACAATTTGATGCAAATAGATGTTTGGGACATAACCTCAAAATAGAGCGGTGACACGGAGAAGTAGAAAACTATGACAATCAAGGAGGCCATGAAGGTGCCCTACAATTGTAGGGACAACTGACGATACGGGCCTTAGGGTCATATGGTCAGTCGTACCTACAATCGTAGGACGCCTTCATGGCCTCCTTCAGAGAGGCTGGGACATTTCTAGATTTCTACCGTTCTGTGTCAGCGCCAGCGCTCGCCTATTGTCAGGCTAGGTATTCTTCTTAAATTGTAGAAAATGTCAGGCTATAGAACAGATGATATAAATCAAAATCAGGTACAATTTAATGCAAATAGATATTTGTAACATAACCTCAAAATAGAGCGCTGACACGGAAGACTAGAAAACTATGAAAATCAAGGAGGCCATAAAGGCGTCCTGAACGACTGACGATACGGCCCTAAAGACGAGGTTTAAAGTTTGAAAATGTTTGACATCTGGTAGAACAATAAAAACTCAATTCAAGTCAATTATCAACGTTTCAAGTAATTTTGTCAAATAGTTTAAGAACATATCAAGCAATTGACCTGATGAATCCCTGACTATGCGTGCACGTTTAGAATCCCACACGCAGTACTATATTGCTCGCTCCTCTTCCCATCATCATATAACACTGATATTGTTGGGTTAAGATTAGCACAACCTACCTAGGTATGTGTTTCGTTAGTAATTTGATAGAGATAGAACGAAACAAAATAATAGCGATTGCATATATCGCCTGGCAATATTTGGTGCACCCATTGTGCATCATCCTTTATGAGTCAACTTATCGTTACTCATAAACGACACCTGTTATTATGATGCAGATATGGTTAATTTAATCTGGAAATAAGTTGATTAATTATTTAAAATCAGTCATTAGTCATCCATCAAATTACGCTCATCAAAAATGCAGCTTGCGTATGAACCTTAACATCTCATTATTTCAAATTAAGCACTAATTACGACTTACAGTTCGCCAAAGCAGATGTCCTTGTTTTTCAAGGGTCCTCTTTCAAGAACCAGCGACTGATATGACTTTCAAGCTTATGAAGCCTCTAAAAATGTTCATATCAGAGAGAACTAGGTTTTAAAATATCTGAGCATGAAAGAAAAAAATACGTTACTTTTGATCCTCATATCAAAAATATACAGGGTAAGAATAGTTGAGTCGCTCTTGGAAAAGGCTCGTAATGAAGTACCTGGACTGTCTGACCAAACTTTGAGCTAACTCTTTGTGCAATTCTTAAAAAAAAGCGTATACGTAATGTCCAATGTTTTACAGATACACCTTGTGAAGTAAATTTATATGTATAAGGTATTAGGGTGTGGATGATTGGTTGTTGAGTTATAAGCGATTCAGTGTACAAAAATGATCAAAACTAGGAGTTTGTTAGTTCTGAAAGATAGTAGACTCCTATGCTAGGGTTATGAACCGCGCATAAGGCGCTTCAAAACTATTTTACACAAAACCCATTTTAGAAAATATGCCAACGTAGCACAAATCCGCCTTCTTGAAATTCCTCCAACTCCTATTTACGAATGCATCAATTTCATAGCTCCAAATTTTAGCTTGCCAGCTTAACCCGTTCAAAAAATAGTAGAGAGAAACTTTCTGAAAAGCACTGTAGACTTTTAATTTATTTATCAACATTTCACGTGCGTATACCGCGTGTTTCAAGTTCGACTGTCACCATTTTGATCTTCGGAGCTAAGCAAAAGGAACAAAATATCAAAATGGTTTTTCTGGGGTTTATTTGAGATGGGATTTCACAATGAAAAATGTTCTCCTCTACAAGGTTTGGAAACTTCAGTATGACGTTTCGTCTCCTGTCTTCAACCATCAACTTTATTTTTTCTTATCACCGCCAGTTTATAATAATATAATTATAATAATGTTTAGTATGTCATACGTTGATGTTGCAAACCTGAGTTATTAAAAAAAACAGATGCTCCTAAGAAGGCCTTGAAACTATCAGAAAGTCAGTTTCACAATATTATTAGCTACGCATTCTTTCAGTTTTTATGCATAGGTGATATGCATATCATGACATCTGCGGTAATATAAGACTCCAAATATAGTTGGTCTTATCGAATAAAGAACAACGTAATGCTCAAGCTTTTTTATTTCATGTTAGAGTCGTACTGGAAACATTGAAAACAGTTTTACTTTAAGTAAGCGTGTTGCAGCATCCTGAACACATTTCATAGCTCTCATATCTAAACCTATGCACACATCTTGCATTCAAGTACTATTAATCTATAGCTTAGGTGTTATGAGGAGCGCCTCTATTATGCTTGTTATTTTCGGTAAATAGGCATATTATCTGAACGTCTTGAATCTTTTCA